CTGAGACTGGAACAGGAGTTCCGAAATTATGTTTTGGACAAATTCCATTTAGCACGACTAGTTTGTCTCGATTTTCGTTTTTACGCGCCTTTGCTTAAATGATTTATGCTAATAAAAATGCATTGTGTTCGTATTATGTGTATGAGCATGTGCGTTTTCCGTGCGCACAGTTCGCGATTCTTGAATTACGAAAGCTACAAAGCTGAAACTTAAGGAACCTGAAACCTCTCAGCCATACATAAGGTTACATGAGGTTACAAAACTAATCAACTCATCTCCTTCTTCTTCTTCTTACCCTAGCCTGTGACTTCGGATTTAAATTCAAAGAACAAAAAAGCTAAAGGCTGGAAATGCAGGGGATTAGTTTACCAAAGCGTTCGGGGTGAAAAGCTTAAAATTAAACGTCAATGAACCCTTTTATTTTCTGATCTATGAATCCTGCTAATTTAGACGAATTTCCTAAATTCAGAGTTGATCAAATAAAGAAAAATTCAAAATTTTTAAGCGTTTGGTCAGGTCGTTTAGGATGGATCCCAGATCATCTTTTGAACTATGCATTTTCTGGACCTGTGATCGTACTTCCCTATACTGCTTGATGGCGCAGCTCCAAAATGGTTCGAACGACCAACGGAAATTTCGTAAACAATAAATCGACTGAAAGAAAGTGCTCATAAAATTCTCGATGTATAGGCGTGTTCACTAACTGGGCAAGTTATTGCAAAAATACATAACTGGGCTAGCACGCCGGTGCGCGATTCGCCATCCCTGGAACAGTGCAACTTTTGCGGTTGCTTCGACCAATATTGCATTGCCTAGTGGCCAGTACACTGGTGATCCAATGCTTGTTATGTCTCCTGAAGAAATTACTAGCTGGACGGCTTTCACAAAAGAAATATTTGCCAAGGTTTTCGCCATTCAAGACATCTTGGTGTATATTGGATATGACTATCTTGAGCTGAGCATTTACCACTCCTAAGCAACAATGAAGTGTTACTTTCCTGACTAGAAGGGAACCAATACAATCTCAAAAAAAGAGGTTCGGCTCTTCACCTCCCCCATACTACAGCATGTCTGCTCTTTTTACCCCTGGATTAATACTAACTCTAAAAGATTGGTGTCAAGACCGCGGTCAGCAGCAATTTCATTCACATTCCACTGAATCACCTTGCATGGGTCAATGCCGGATTTATCGCTCCAGCGCACACTACTTCAGTATCTAACAGCGGCTTCTTTTTTCTTCGTATTCTGGATTGCAGCTTTCTTCTGGGGATGTTGCTTAATAGCAGAGCATTATGTTTTTTCGGGACCTACTTAAAAAGCATGCACTAGCCCCTTTCCTGCCCCTGATTTTCGCCGCACTTGTTATTTCTGAACGTATAATTTTTTCAGCTAACTTTTTTGTGCTTTAGAACGTGGATCTTTTGGGCTACTGCGAACCAAACTATTCATGTAATTTCCTACACTGTTCCTTCTTTGCTCAGAATACTGCTGTGTCGTGTCTTGGTGCTGATAAAGTTCATTCACGTTTTCTTTAGCAACTGAAAAAAAAAAAAACGGATATGCGGTTATATGCTGCAACAATTCAATTGTCTATGGTACCAGTGCAGTTGTTGGGAGCAGAGACGGAGCAGCCATGCTCGATTCTCGAAGAATTTGTTTCTAGATCGGCTATTTGCTAGACATTTCAAAACCATGCAAACTGCATGGAAATGCAGCCCGATGACCTCTGACCTCGCAGGTTGTCCTCCATTCCGAGCATGGATAGGAGGTGCGCGAAGGTCAGACAATCCTGCCTGCCCGCGACCGGCCCTACGAGGAGGAGGAGGGACATTTAGGAGTCGTATGGTCGGTTTGCGCGAATGTCTCTCTGTCTGCATGTGGGTGTGTACATTGCATTAAGGTGCTGCTGTGTGGTTCCTCCTGTCCCTGTATCCTGTAGGATCGAAGACGAACACGACGACAACGACGACAGGAAGACGGCGGTGACTCCGGAGGAGGAGCGGGTAGTGTAGTTGTAGTGCCTCATCTCCACGCACACACACCCACCCACACACGCGCACACTGACACACACCCATACAATCCGTGTGGGGACTGTCACTGTGTGCGGTCATGTGGTCCTCGCCCTTGCTACTGTCCCTCACCAGTGTTTTTGGCCTGCTAGGCCTGGCACTGGTCACACTGGCCCTAGCCACCGATTCCTGGACTGATTATCAGGTTCGTTTGTTCATGTTGTACGATTCGTTTCCACTGCTAAGTTTTGTTGCTGGTGTGTTTTGGTCGCAAATGACCCTGACCTTCTGGACCGCTTCCAGTTGTTACATTCGTGCCGTTCGGCTATTCATAGCTCAAACAATTTGCACTCCACCTTTCGTGGTGCATTTTTGACCGAACGAACATACGTTCATGCAACACTAGCATCTTAATTTCTGTTGTACTGGAAAGGAGAGAATCTGCGGGACTCATCTTCAGAGTTTGCTTTGCCGATAACTGTGAAATAAATGTATAGCAATTTCGGTGATGTGTTTTAGCGCTGCAATACCGCATTCTCCTTTCTCATTAGAACTCTATTCGCACATAGTGTGGAACCTGGTTTTTATTATTCTGCAAACATTGTTTTTCGACTGGTCCTATGGGCATCCCAGCTTCTTTGCAGCAAAACTTTGTCGGGCAAACTACGAATTTCTCTGCTAAAAGACTGCTGTTACTTTAATCTGGTTAAAAATCCGGTGTTTCGATAATGAACGAGTGCAAATCGCTGTGCGTGAAAAATGCTCACTCTGCTTTTGTCTCCCGAGTTAGTAGGGCGAAAATTAAGGAAAGCGAAAGCGACTACAACTGCAGCATTTAAATGAAAATTTCCTGCTAATTTCGTAGCAAGTTACGGTTTTCCTATGCTAGCGGAACAGCTACCAAGAAGACAACTTTGCATATCAACTGCTGTGAATCCCGTGACTCCAGAACTAGTAGATCGATTCAGACAATCTGTAAGCTGCTTTCGCAGCTTAGATGCTCAAATCCTCTAACAGATTTACGCCATTACACTATGGATTTCTGAAGTTATTCACACTAAAATCCTCGCGGTACGTGCAACTTATTTCAAAAGCTATTCACAATATGCTTTCTTTAGTATATTCAACAGATTTTTCTGGGCGGCTGCAACAAGTTTTTAGGGGAAAAAAGCAAGCGGTTCAATAGTACAGGCTACCGAGCAGTCATAATCGCACTTTTTAAAATCGGCTCACCGCTGTCAGAATCGATCTGGGATGGGTTGTCAGAATATTTCCCCCTTCGCGGACGGTTCTTTTGAGAATTTCCCTTTCTCTGAAGTTGATGAAGCCAATAAGCAGGGAATCACGAAACTTTCGCGTTCGCTTTACTCGCTACTTAAATTTCGGGGGTTTGTTTCTGTGGAACTTCTGCGCAAGTAAAAAAAGCTTTACTGCGAAAGCATGTCGGCGCACCTGTGCTTGTCTGGATGATGATTCAACTCTGGAACAGCGTAACCCTTATGAGCTGAAATTTTAGGAACGTTATGCTCGAATCGGCATTTTTAAATCAATCGATTTTGCTAGTTTGATTGTTTGTACCCAAGCTTAACTAAGCAATTATTCATTTAATAGGCAAATTCCATTCCTAGG